AATTTAAGTCCCCCTACCAAGTTTTTTTTGTTTTTACTCCTTTCAACTTTTTTTATTTTTCATTTTCACTCCTTAATCATTTTTAGATTTTGGCAATTTAAGTCCTCCTACTAAGTTTCTATTGCTATTATCCTCATACTTTAGTAAATAACATTTTCAACCCTTCACCTGTTAAAATATCATATTCACCCCTGTATTTGAATTTTAGAAAATGTGCCATTTTATTTTCTAAACTTTTGTTTTTCTAAACTTTTGTTTTATCTCCCATATGTGTTGGTATAAATTAGAGGTGGTCAATGTTTCGACATATTTATGCTTCGGCGTAAATTTAGAACTTTAGTTCGTTTATTAAAAAAAAAAATTTAATGTACCTGTCGGGATATAAATTTGAGTCCGTCTACATTTAAATGCATTTTTTTTATTTCCGTGTTTATTTTTATACATGTAAGCCGGATCACATATGATACGTTTTTAATTATTTGAACTTCCATTCGTTAACTTAAAAAAAAATATTACTTAATTATGCATCTCATATATAATATAGTTTTATTATCTTTATTTGGCATGGTTTTGCCCTCATACTATTATAGTTTGTCGGATTAAGTTTTCTAAATTTACTTTCTACTACTTTTAAATACATTATTATGGGTGTGTAAAATCCTACTTTACTCTAATTTTGATGAATAGCCTCAACCATAAGTTTTTATTTATTTTTGGTTTAACAGAGCCAGCTGGAAACGGAAGGCCGACACCTCTAGAAAAGGACCGACACCAATTCAAATCAATTTCAATTTCTTTGAATGTAAGGATTCAATTTAGAATATGTTAAATATGGAATTGTAAACTGTTCAGTTTAATATTACATGATCGTTTTTTAATTAAAACTACATGATTGAATTGTTAATTGTTCTTCTACCTAACTCCTAATCAATTCCTGTAAGTCAACCTTTCGTCCTACGATGAGCTTCCCCATCGAACGGACCAAATCACACAGGAGCTTAGGATTTGACTTGCTGGCAAGGAGGCTCCTTCTTCATCGATCTGAAAAACTAAAGGTTTGCCTCGATTATTTTATAATTATGATGGTGCTACGGTTGTGATTTTCTTGATCCAAGTCTCTCGACATTCATCAAGAATCCGTATCGGATCTCCTCTTAGGTGCAATTGATATTGTTGTATTTTAATTTCTCACAGCAAGTGTATAATCTCTGTTTTTTTTTATTGCTATGATCTGGTCAGTTAGTTGTCATGATTGACCCTAATCTGATTCTGGATTGTGTAAGATATGTGATGTGTAGAATTTAGATCTACTACGACTAGTGAGAGCTGTTAAATTAATTGTTCAGTTTCTCGGTATTTGTTAAATACGTGAACATCCAAGTAACTTTGATGTGTATGGTGGGTGTTAGTTTACGTATCGACACTTGTGTAACCTTTTTTTTTTATTTATTATTATTTTTTTTAATGTTTGTGCTGCAGGTTTTTAGAAATGACCGACGATGAGGATCTTCAGCCTCTTGTATTCGACAATGGAACTGGAATGATGAAGGTTAGCATGATAATTCTTCTGTTACTATTTCCTAATTATATAAAACTTTCCTGATTTAGTTGTAAAAGTATTCTTGTACTTTTGAATTTAAATTAGGGGTAAATGCTTGTTTATGGAATGATACATTAATTTAGTTTTTTAAAACTAAATATGCAATAATGTTTCTATCTATCCCAAAAAATATGCAATAATTTATCTTTAACATGCATAACCTGCATAAATCATAATCGGTGCCATTTGCACAAATTAATATAAAAAAGTCAATTTTTATTGCGTTAATTAGTAAAAACCGAAACATATTTAAATAAATAAGCATTTAACGGAATGCCAAGTCATAAGGTATGTTTTGCTCATAGAAGGAAACATGGTTGCATATTTCGTCTGAAAAACCATTTTGTTGGATATGTTGGGGAAAGACTACTCCAATCGGAGATGTTCATTTTTTTTTTTTTTTTTTTTTTTTTTTGAATAAATTACAGGCAGGGTTTGCTGGTGATGATGCTCCTAAGATAGAGTTCCCCAGTATTGTTGGTAGGATGAAAGACAATGGTGTTACAGTGGACACGGATGGGAAAGATGCTTATGTAGGAGATGAAGCCCTGTCGAAAAGTGGTATCCTGACTTTGAAATATCCTATTGACCATGGTATTGTCTGCGACTGGGACGATATGGAAAAAATTTTCCATCACACCTATAGTGAGCTTCAACATGCTCCAACAAAGGATCCCGTGCTTCTCACTGAGGCTCCTTTAAATCCCAAGGCTAACAGAGAGAAGATGACTGAACTCATGTTTGAGACCTTCAAAGTTCCAGCCATGTACATTGCAATTGGGGGCGTGCTTGCTTTGTATGCGAGTGGTCGCACAACTGGTTAGTTTTTCATTGCTCTTTCGGTTTTCGAGAATAATTTGTATTGTTTGCATTTTGATATCTGGAAATTTAAATTGCAACATCCTGTAACTAGAAAAATAATAACACAAGAATATATGTGGAGAACTCGAAACCAAAGAGAAACAATGGTGTGAGAACATGTTACAATCACACTCTAATCTCTCAAGCAAACCACAATTCTCAAAAATTTAACTCGCACCATTTTATACTCAAACAAAATAAGATACTTGTGTACTATGTAGGGTTTGGTATGATGGAATCTGCGGGAATGGAATGGTTTTTTCCATTATAATAAAAACGGGTTTGTTTTTTGCCGGATGGAATAGAATGGACCATTCATAAAGTAAATGTGATTCTTTCCATTGTGTTGTTTTTTTGATTCCTTAGCCAAGGTGTGTTTTTTTCATTCCATCATGGGATAGAACGAAAATTTTACAATATAACCTATTTTTATATATTTTAACATTAGTTTAACAATTCTTTAAATAAGTTCCATTATTTTTAATAGATTGCAATTTTATATCCATAAATAATAAATTACAATTTTATATCCATAAATAATGAAAAAAAAACTTCTTTATTTTTTTTTCTCTTATTTGGGTTTTAATGAGCTTTTATTATGTTTATTCTTTTTATTTTTGTAAATAAAAGTTAATTAGTTATATTTGAAATAATCAAATAATGTATAGAGTAAGGTTAAAAATTTATATTGTGTTTACATATAATGTAAAATTTTCATATGAAAATTCATTCCAACCTAGAAGCAAACCAAATATGATCATGGAATGCAACGACTCATTCCCTTACGTACCTTGCTTATTCAATTACCCTATATACATTCCTTATCATTCTATTCCCTCCAACCAACCAAACTCACTCTTAAAATGTATCTTGATTGAGGCACTTTGAAACTAAAACCTTAAATTCTTTTTACTCAAATAAAACCCTCTCCACCTGTTCCTTTTCAATCAGTGTGGGATAAACTTATCTTTTTATTGTAAATACATGTGGAGCCCAAGATTGTCTCTCCAAAAGAGCCCTTATGGAGAGAGGGGAGACTCCAACATATATAGTCACTTATAAGACCGTGTCGCACCGATGTAGGATACACTAACATTTATTTTAGCCAAGAAATCTCAACACTGCTACTTTTTTAACAGGTATCGTGTTGGATTCCGGAGAGGGTGTATCCCACACGATCCCAATTTACGAAGGGTACGCACTTCCTCATGCCATCCTCCGCCTTGATCTCGCTGGTGTTGACATCACAGATTCCCTAATGAAGATCCTATCCGAAAGAGGCTACTTGTTCACAACAACCGCCGAACAGGAAATTATCCGTGACATGAAAGAAAAGCTCGCATACGTGGCTCTTGACTATGAGCAAGAACTCGAAACTGCAAAAAGTAACTCCTCTATTGAACAGAACTATGATCTGCCCGATGGGCAGGTTATCAGGATTGGGGCAGAGAGATTCCGGTGTGCAGAGGTTCTCTTCCAGCCACATCTGATTGGAATGGAAGCTGCTGGTATTCATGAGATGACCTACAATTCCATCATGAAGTGTGATCTTGGTACTAGGAAGGATCTTTATGGAAATATTGTGCTTAGTGGTGGGTCAACCATGTTCCCAGGCATGGCTGACCGAATGAGCAGAGAAGTGACTGCCCTTGCCCCTAGTAGCATGAAGGTTAAGGTGGTACAACCACCTGAGAGGAAACACAGTGTTTGGATCGGAGGATCAATTCTTGCAACTCTCAGCACCTTCCAACAGGTAAATGAAAGCCCTGCTAAAGTGTTTTCTGGAGAAGTGATGTTTCTAAAAATAACTAATAAAATTAAATTTGTGAAGTCGTTCTTTTTGCATTGTTGTCTGGATTAGCAATGTTTAAAAGTATAGGGAAAATTGTAGGGAATAGCTATCTACTTTACTTTCATTATTGGTATGGCCAGTTTATTTTGTACTCATAATAACAACATTCGCATGTACTTTTACTAATAATACGTTCTTGTTCTGTATTGTTAGTATTGGTATTGAAATGTAACTTTGCTTCTATTTTACAAATAATACGTTCTTGTTTTGTATTGTTAGTATTGGTATTGAAATGTAACTTTGCTTCTATTTTACAAATAATACGTTCTTGTTTTGTATTGTTAGTATTGGTATTGAAATGTAACTTTGCTTCTATTATGGGTTCGTCATTGTAAGTATGCTGCTATTTCATGAAAAACTACAAGTATGTTGCTACTATGGGAGGAAATTTCAAAACACATTACTTCTATTACCCATATGGGCAACGTATGTTGTTATTAGCCACAGTAGCAAACTACTTGTATTCTTTTACCCATAATAACAATGTACATACATTTGATTTCCAATATCAGTAATGCACTCTACCTGTTACATATTGCTACCATCGATAAATACATGTATCTAAAACGGTATTATGGGTATTGAAATGTAAGTAAATTGCTATTATGGGCATATAAATGAAGGAAATTGTCTATATTGGTAAAAACGAGTAAAGTATGCTGCTATTTTCTGTAAATTCCCTAACAAATATTAGACTAACTTAGTTTTCTTTTGCATGAATCAGATGTGGATCTCGAAGGCCGAGTATGAAGAGTCTGGTTCCTCTATTGTCCACAAGAAATGCTTCTAAGTACGTATTATGTTGCTATGGTCGAGTTTGTTTTTGTTTTTGTAATTTTTATCCATTTATTTTTGTTGTTATGTTTCATGAGAAGCAAGAAAGGCAGAAATGCTTTTGTGTTGTATGATGTAACCCATTAATTTGTTTAGAATTTGGCTGAAACAGATAGAAATCTTGACATTTAGATGTACAGATCAAAGTTGTATTTTAGAGATTCTTTACTTCAACATAACATATTCATCAGTCAAGTTGGACATGGGAGCTGAGAATCTATAAATGTCAAGTTTAAACAAAAAATATATATATTATTATAACAATTATATCAAATTAAATACAATAATACATGAGGATTTATGCATTAAAACTACATTTTGGATGGCTTTTTACAGTTGTCTCAGGGTTTTCGGTGACTAATTATTGACAACATATAATAAATTTTGACTTATCTGTATGTAAAAGGTAAATAATATTTCGTCATACTCTCTAATAAATGAAGGTTTTTTTTTGTCATTTGTCACATTCTCATTCAATTTGTCAAATGTCATTTTGTGGTTATTTTGAATTAATTTTTTTTCCAAATGTCATTTTATGAGTTTTCTATTTTATTAAATTTCACATAATATTTTAATGTAATAATTACAATAAATGTAGTAATAAATAGGTATTAATTTCATTAATAAACTTACCTTTTAATTTCAAAATTCCCAAAATTAAAACTCATTAGTTTTTTTTTGTTCATTTATTTAAATTATTTGTTTAAATTTAAAAGACAAAAAACATTTCCATTATAATAATTCATTATTTTTTTTATTTTCTTAAAAGTTCAAAGTTCTCAAATATTTTGACTTTTATATCTAACTTTTTTTTTTTAAATTAACTCATGTAATACATGGGTCTCACAACTAGTTTTAAATATACATAAATTGGGATGATATATATTGGTGATCAACACGCTTTTACACAAATTATTAACGTAGTAAAATGAGTCATTTTGTGAGTAAAAGGGTAAGCTATTTTATATCCCCTCCCTTGTAACATCCGTCTCTCTAGGTATTGATTAATTATGCAAATTAATATTGATTTTGGACTAAGGTTTGGGCAATGGCCCTTGTTGAAATGGACCCTAGAAGATTGGACCTAGGAATGGGCAGCCCATAAGCCGTACGCGGGGCGTAACCCGGCGTACGCGGGATGTAGTAGCCACATTGGATGTGCGGGACTCGGGGGCGTACGCGCAACGTACCATGAGGTACGCCCAGCGTACGCGGACACATGCCAAACCCTAATTTGTAGGGTTTAAGACATATATAAACCCCATTATAGCCACCCCTTTGGCCTCCTCACCTGTCCCTCACTCTCAGAAAACCCTATTTCGTCCCCTTACTCCATTTCTTTGTGTGCTTGACCTTTTGAAGTTTATTTTGGTGAAGAAGGGTTTAGAAGAAGTAAAGCAAGGTTGAAGGAAGAAGCACTTGAGCATCTTGAGCTCAAGGATCTAGAACAAGTTCACCTTTGGGCACTCAAGGGAGGTATAAAGCTCCTATCTTTCCTTCTTGAATCATAGATCTAGGTTTTGGAAGATTTTGACCTTTTTAGATCCAAAGATGGGATCTTGATCATGCAACTTCGATTTTGAGCTTAGGGTTGCCACCCTTGAAGCTCAATGTGTTCCTTAAGCTGTAAAGTTGCAAGCTTTGATGCTTTTATGAAGCCATGCAAGAGATCTAGCCACTTCCATGGTAGTTCTTTGTCACTTTTTAGTGTTGGGCTCATTTGGTGGCTTGCAAGCCACCAAGTGATTGACTTTATGGGCTAGGATGAAGTATTGGACTCAGATCTGTAGTTTGGACGTTCTGTCTTAAGAGATTAAGTCGTTTTGGAAAGGATGGCTTAACAAGAGAGTACGCTGGGTGTACACGCCAGTACGCGCAGCGTACAAGCCATTCAAGCAGTACGCGCAGCGTACAGAAGAGTACGCTCAACGTACGCTCAGTCAGTGGACTTTTGTTATTGTGCCTTGGTTTGGGCCAAGTTTTGGACATAGTGGTAATGGGCTGTGATGGGCCTTTAGAAGTCAGTTTAGGGCCCAAGAATTTGTGGGTTTGGAAGGAAAGCCCATTTGAAGAGTTGGGCCCGATTCAGAAAATTGGGCCATTTGGGGACTTAATGGGCCTTAGTGAGGACTAGAAAGGATTGGGCCTAGGTCATCGCCCAAAATAGATCAGAGGGGTAAAATGGTCATTTTACCCATGGGAGAGTTATCAGTTTTTGACTAAATGTTTGTTGGGCCATTATAGTCGGGGAGTAGTTGGAGCAGCAGACGGTGTCACCTTTGCACGAGTTTTTCAGCAGTCAGTTGAGAGGTGAGTTTCCTTCCAGTAGGAACGGGTCTACGGCCACAATGTCGGCCCGTTTATATGATAGTAGTTCCGGACTTCGGTCCGATGTTGGGGTGGTCCCGGGAAGTAGTTATGTATGCTTGATGTCTTCGTGATTCATGTTTGTTTATGTTATGTGTTGATGTTCCGGACTCTGGTCTGATGCCGGGCAAGCCCGATGTAGTATATGTGATTATGTTATATGTTCATGCTTATGTTATGTTTAGTTTATTCCGGACTTCGGTCCGATGCCGGGCGGGGCCCGATGCAGTGGGCAAGGCCATGTATCTGTTATATGTGTTATTGTATGGTATGTGGTAGTTTGGGGGATCTCACTAAGTTTCGTGCTTACAGTTTCAGTTTTGGTTTCAGGTACTTCAGCTAGCAAGGGAAAGGGCTCGGGATGATGGCATGGCACACACCACAGTTTTTCTTAGACTGGGAGTTTACTCTGATATTTTATATGAGATTGTGATATGATAACAGTTTTTATGAGATTTTGAGATATATGTTTCATGATTTTATACTATGGCGATGATATTTATGTTTGTTAAATGATTTTGAAAATGAAATTTTTGGCTAGTATTTTTGGGATGTTTCAAGTTGGTATCAGGGCCTTGGTTTGAGGGATTCGGGCACACTTTCGAGTGTGTCTGAACTCGAACTAAGGAATTGGTATAGAAATTTTCAAAAGTAAAATCGATTTTTGTAAGAAAGATTTTGAGGAAAGAAAACAGTTTTGGGAAAGGCGAAAAGAATTTTTTGAAAGAAAAGAACTTTGAAAAGAGAAAAGGGTTAGGTCTAGCTCTATTGCGCAGCTCTTGTTTGAGTCCAATCGTTGTAGGGTAGGATCTCTCATTCGAAGAATTATCTAGTCCGAGTAATATGTAATAGTATTCGTGAGCTAGTTAGGGGAAGAAAGCAGGGACTTCTTATGCAGCTGATGGTGAAGAATGAGTTGGTGATTACCCTAGGGCAAGCCTAGGATGATTATCAGCTTTGTTAGAACAGCATGCTAGATTAGGACTAAGGATCTAGGAAGGATGCCTTATGTGCCTGTTAGATGAGTTTCAGCTTTATGAGAACTGCATGCTAGTACAGATTAGTCAGTATGATAACCAGAGTAATATATGCTTGATTATGTGTAGTCAATGTCCGAATGCTGCTTGCTTTGTGCTTTTAGGAGTCTTAGTTATCTCTTACTAACTAGTAAATGAATATGTTACGTTACATATTGTGAGGATTAAAAAATTTCAGAAGGTTAGGTCTAGCTCTATTGCGCAGCTCTTGTTTGAGTCCAACCGTTGTAGGGTAGGATCTCTCATTCGAAGAATTATCTAGTCCGAGTAATATGTAATAGTATTCGTGAGCTAGTTAGGGGAAGAAAGCAGGGACTTCTTATGCAGCTGATGGCGAAGAATAAGTTGGTGATTACCCTAGGGCAAGCCTAGGATGAGAGTAGCAGAGAACAGTAGCAGTAAAAGGGACTTGGGGGAGTCGAGACAGTTCTTGAGGAAAGTACGGATAGATGTGGAAGGTAGTATGGGCTCGTACTACTGAAAGCAGAGGATCCATACTCGAATCAAGGAAGGTTGAGATAAGACCAGGGAACTTGTAGTGTATGAGATCCATCTAGTTATATTAGTATTCTGATGTTTGTTATGATCTGTTTCAGAATGGTGGTTTTGCGCTCTAGACCAGCAGTGGGTAGCTCAGGTGCAGGAGAGGTATCGGGCTCAGGCTCTGGAGTCGGGCAGTTAGATGAGCAGATCAGGGAGTTTATCTCCTCGGAGGTCACACGCAGCATACTAGACCAGCCTCCTGTGATTTTTGGATCGGTCAAGGAGGGTATCTTAGAGCTTCTGGATGAGAAGTTGAGCGTGTTCCGTACTGAGATGGCGGCCATGATGGGATCGCGTACATTGACTTTCAGGGAGTTCAGAGCTTGTGGAGCTCCCGACTACCATGGGGCTCGGGACCCCATTGCGAGTACCAGATGGTTGGCAGATGTCGCCAATGCGTTCCGCACCAGCAGATGTCCCGAGGGGGACAAGGTCAGACTAGCATCCTGTCTTCTGAAGGATAGGGCATAAGATTGGTGGGAGGAGGTCGGGAGAGCCATTGGAGACGAAACTGTGTTGGATGCGATGACCTGGAGTGATTTCACGACTAGGTTCAGAGCCACAGTCGGTGTGGCAAGTGTGGCAGGTTGCACGATGGTGTGTGCAAGGCGGGGAGTTCCGGCTGCTTCAAGTGCGGTCGGACAGGGCATATGAGTAGGGATTGTACAGCTACTACCACTGCCACCACAACATCCGATTTGATTTGCTTTCAGTGCAATCAGAGGGGCCACAAGAGGTCCCAGTGTCCGAGTTTGGTAGCAGCAGGGAAGGTGTCGGCACCCGCCCCTGCTACTTTGAGGATTACCGACGGCCGCCAGGGTCGTGCTGAGGCACCGGTGGCGAAGAGCAGAGCGTTCCAGTTGACAGCAGAGGAGGCACGAGCGACTCCTGATGTGGTTGCTGGTATGTACTTTTCTCCATCTTCTCTTTATTATTTTTTATTATTACTCATGTTTATGTGTTGTTTATAGGGTCGTTCCTAGTGAACGACATTTCAGCTATGGTATTGTTTGATTCGGGGGCTAGCCGATCGTTTGTGTCGCTTGCACTTAGCAAGCGATTTAGCAGAGCTCCGGGGGAGCTGGATTGCCCACTTGACGTTGAGATAACAGATGATAAGACCTTCAGGGTCGCAAGAGTTCATAGAGGATGTACACTGCGGTTATTTGATGAGCAGTTCTCAGTGGATTTGGTTCCTATTCCCCTGCGAGGGAATA